CTCTCTCTCTCTCTCTCTATCTTTCTTTCAAGCTTGCCCTCACGTCTCACCCTCACCCTCTAGATCTCTCACTTTCCTATTTTGCTCACACTCTTTCACGCAACACACCTGGTCTCTATTTGTCCCCGCTCAAGCATAACAAGGACCGAGCCATTAATAAACAAACAAACAAACACACATACAAACAAACAAACGAACAAACAAATACAACGCGTAAAAAATACAACGCGATCATTGCCGAAAATTCATAATCATCTACTGTAAAGATTTCGCGCACTGTCTAGCGCAAAAAAAACGATCTATACTTTCTAATTAAAATCAACAGACACGGGAACCTCGGCGCGAAAGAAATCTGCCGTCGATTGTCGGCGGAGAAGGTAGGGGAGGGGAGGAGGAGGAGGGGGTGCAAATTAAGATTTCACCGTCGATCTATAGTGAGTAATGAGGAAGCGATGGAGCATATTTATAATCTCAGGTTCCCCCCTAATTACACGTGTGAGAGAGAAAGAAGACGTGAGAGAGAGGGAGTGTGAGAGGGAGAGGAAGAGCGGGAGAAGGGGAGGGAGAGAGAGAGAGGGCAGGAAGGAGAGAGAGAGAGAGAGAGAGGGTGATGTGCCGGAAACTTTGTGACCATAACACCATTAAATCCGCATTTCCTTCCCGAGTCTCACTCTGTGACATGAGAGCGACTAATCATTGAGTCTTTGATTAATAACTATGTTGAACTTTCCCGCGATTTTCGCCGCGCTTTTTTTTTCTACCGCCGCATCGGTCCGGTTTATTTTGGCTAATGAAACGCATCAAAGTCGCAATTTATCGTCGGTTCGGTCACAAAGACACGATAGACAGACCCCGTCATCCTTCCTCCGTGCGGGAGTTAACCACCGAAGCAGACGCTGGCGGCAGTCTTGATCGTCCCGCGAGAACGTGTGCGCATTAGCGAGCGCGAGAGAGAAACGGACTCGCGTGCCCTGAAGAGCGGCCGAAGTTTATTTTTGGCTTTTTTAACTTTTTATTCAGCGAGAAATCAAGATCGCGACGAGGCGCCTCGTAATTATCGTCTGCCGGAAAAGCGCGGGAATCTCGCCGACAAGTGGCAGGCGAGGGGTCGCGACAGGAGGCCCGCGTCGCCTGCCTAAGCCAGAGGAAATTAACCAGCGTCGCCGCGGCCTCCCCGTCGCTTTGAGATGCTGCTGCTGCTGATGATGATGATGATGATGATGCTGCTACTGCTGTTGCTGCTGCTGCTACTGCTAATGCTGCTGATGGTGGTGGTGGTGGTGGTGGTGGTGGTGGTGCTGCTGCTGGTGGTGGTGCTACTGCTGCTGCTGCTG